CGACCGTTTTTTTTTTTTTTTTTTTTTTTGGACGTTACAAAGTCTATTGTGTCATAGACTTGAATTGGAAGCACTCTCAGCAATAGCAGCCATGTTTATACACCTTGGAGTGGTATATAGGGTTCTAGATTTTGTGCCACGAGCCACCACCATGGCACCCTTTACAATCTTCAATGAACTATTTCCAAACTCGGTTGCATAACCAGTGCTATCCAACTGATCAATAAAGACCAGGTTCTTCTTCAGACCAGAAATATATCTGACATCCTTTAATGTCTAGTGATTTTCTGCTAGAGTTTGAGTTTGTATGGAGACATCTCCCTTTCCTTCAATCTCCAAGGTTTTGTTGTTGGCAAGATATACCTTCTCAAAATTTTCTGATTTGAAATTTTGAAATAATTCATGATTTGGAGACAATGAAACGATGCACCTAAATCCAAAATCCAAGATTCAATCAGTTTGTCCACACTAAGGTTTAGAGCATCCTCAGTATCTTCTGCTGAATATATGGAATCATTGTCATCTTCAGATTTGTGATTGAATCGCCTCCGCACCAAATACATCTTGTTCATAGCCGACGGTTTTTCGTATATATTTGACAATGCCTTCAATATGTCTAACGCATCTTCTCCTTTATGATGTTGAACGCCACATTTCTGGATAGTGTCAACCGGATCAACCCTAAGGCCTGGCGATCCTTGAGCTTCCACTACTCCATGGTCATAGTATCCGGCTTCACCCCCAACAGGGGTTCGTGAAGATCTTTCTGGTACAGACAATATTCAATCTACATCTTCCAAAAACCAAAATTGGATCCATCAAACTTTTCAATCTTCACAGATTGTGGTGAATTTCGCCTAGCTCTGATATCAATTGTTAGGATTACACACCAACGCACACACTCGATCAAGATGAACCCAAAGAACAGAGACAGAAAATTCAAGGAGGAATATTGGCTAAAGGTTTTATAGATGACTTTAAGTATGTACACCAATATAAAATGCAGATAATGGAGAAGGTACATCCGTGGTAAGTGATAGGGTTTCAATTTACTAAATATAGCTTTAACAGATTTAACGTATGAGATATAATCTACCGAACTTTAATATCTACTATATATATCTCTACCAGATCTTTACATCTACTTTATATATTCCTATCATATCTTTACGAAATATCTCCCCTATATATTTTTACGAGACCATTTATTATAAATAGGCATCAGCCTCCATATTCCAACCGGTCTTTCATAAATGTTAACTACTGCATGAGAACCCTTTCTACAATTGGTCGCGATTTACACATGGCTTCCAATGGTTGAGCTCTAGGGATGGTGAGCCCTACGCCCTCAGTCATGTCAACCACTTCACTACTCACTCTCTTCCATTCAAAGCATTGAATCAATGATGCCAAAGACAAACCAACCACCCGATGGGCCATTCCCACACCAGGGCAAGCTCTCCTCCCCAAGCCGAAAGGAATTAGCTTATACAAATCATCTACCATGGTAATTTTATATCTTTCAGGGTTAAATGTATTTGCATCTTCCCAAATATTTGGATCTCTATGTATAGCCCAAGCATTAATCAAGATGATTGTATCGCGGGGAATTTTGTAGCCCGCTATCCAGCAATTTTCAGATGCATAATGTGGCACGAGTAAAGGAGCTGCAGGGTTTAATCGTAGAGTCTCGGATATTACTCCTTGCAAATAACTTAATTTCGACATATCTGATTCCTCAACCAATCGCTCTTGTCCAATAATCGAGTCCAATTCAATCCTAGCCTTCTTTAAGACATTCGGATTGTTAAGCAAATGAGATAGTGCCCATTCTATTGTCACTGCTATTGTGTCCGTGCCTGCAAGCAATATTACCTGCACGAATCACGAGAGAAGAAGCCAATTATATTAGCATATGAATTTTGTTGTAACAGAAGCGGAAGCAAGATCGATTACACTCATATAACCACAAACAAAAATTAAACAAAGAGACACAAAGATTTGAGTGATTCAGAGAAAAAAAATTCTCCTACATTCACGGAGTAGCAACCAACCTCAATAATCAAAGTGTTCAACTCACCATTATAAGGCCTTTGATAACTTGGTCACTCATGAAATCAAGTTGGGATTGTTGCAAAGAAAGTAAATGATCAATCATAGTATTTCTTCCTTCTTCCTTTTGATTCCTATGCTCATCAATCAACCCTTGCAAGAATTCATCATTCCTTTGTCCAAGTTTTATTATCTTCTTCTCATAATGAGTAATATCTATCCAATTCAACAATGGAATAAAACTTCTTGAATCAAAACTCCCACATTTTTGCATAACTTGCTTCACAATATCTCTAAATTTCCTTGCTTGTTCCAAATCCAACACGCCCTCTCCATAAAACCTCTTCCCCATCACCATTCTCATCACAATATTTGAGGACAACTCAGAAATCATGGAACTCATCTCAACTCTCGCAAAGCTATCACTTGAAATGCGACACAATTTACCAAGTACGCGTTTGATTTCATCCTTCCTAGTCTCCAAAAACATATTAAGGCGACTGGCTGAGAATATCTCTATGGTGCTAATTCGGCGGAGTTCGCGCCAATGATCGCCATATGAGGACGCCGAAAAGATCGTGTTGTTGTAAGTCAAGTGCTTGATAATGTTCGAGCTTGGTCGATTTGCTAGAATGATATCATTCATTGTGAAGCATTCTTTAACCGCCGAAGGAGACGAGACAACGACAACGAGTTGAGAGCCTAAGCGGAGAGAGAAGACATGGCCATACTTGTTAGAAAGCTTTTGAAGGGTTTGATGGACGGGACGCTTTAGGAGATAGAGATGGCCTATAATTGGGAGGGAAAAAGGGGGACTTGGGGGAAGCTTTGTGGAGGGTCGGAGTAGAAATATGAGAGATGATATGAATGCCATTAGAGGGAGACAGAGATAAAGCATAAGGTTTTCCATGTTTTTTTGTTTGCTTTGTTGGTTATCATCTCATTTCAACTATGAATATATAGAGTAAATGAAGAGGAGAAAATTGAGTTTCCATTTAATTTCCATTAATACAAATACACCAAAGTTTATTATGACAGTTAGGTGTGTTACGTAAACACAACAATTAAATTTACGGCTACATACAATAAATTTTATTTTACTCAAGAAAGTAATAATTGAATTAAAACTATAAGTATTTAGTGGTCTGTCTCTATATATATATATATATATATATATATATATATTTTTTTTGTTCATCCCATTTTCACTTTTACTTTTAGCTTTGTGAAGGGACTAGATATTCTATTGTTTGAGCCTACTTTTTCTTATGTTGCCAACCCTACCGAACTCACTTTAATTGCTACAAATTAGCATTTAAAAATAGCTTTTCAAATAAATAAAAAACTATTAAAAAAAACTAAAAAATTGACCCTTGGTCAGCACTTGTCAATTTTGAGTGAGATCAACTTTTTCTTGTAGTTGATTTAAAATTACATGAAAAAAAATGTGCAGACGACTTTCTGAAGAAACTATATTGATTTGAGTTTCGATTAAAAAGTTATGAAAATACTAAAAATATAGGTTGAGGCAGAAACTCATTTGCTTTCTAGAAAAATAGAATTCGTAATCAACTACATGAGGGACATGTCATGGAAATAGGTGGTGAGCACATCTAGCTGATCAGTGGACACGTGGCATGAGAAGAGAGGGCCACAGGTCTATCATCCCACGGTAACACGTGTTTCAGGTAACCTGACCCGTTTAACCTGTGTTTTAGTTGATCGATAGAAATATTTCCCCAACCAAACATGTTTGAGTGAACCAAGTTAAGAATATGGTGTTAGAGCTAGAACGATTTCCAAGTTAGCCAAGGTTAGTACACCTCTAGTAGACCAAGCATCTTAGGATTGCAAGCAACGATCATAGGTCTAGACCTAAGTGCATCCAGAGGATTATCCCGAAGAGATAACCTCGAGTAATTTAAAAATGTGAGATGAGATCTAAACTGCCTAGACATCCCAAGAATCTAGGATGACACCTATGAGAAATTAGGAGGGTTAGAAAAGTTTCATGAGTATGTATGTAGGTTGAGAGCCTAAAGATTATGATGTTACTATCCAGAGTTTTTTAATGGAATGACCTGCTAGGATGTGTAGTAACCAATATTTTCTGTCTTCTGACAAAAAGGACCTCAGGAAGCTGATAGAGAGTGGTCATAGAAGGCCAACTGAATGAGGCCTCATGCAGTGCCTAGGAGAGGCAGAAGGAGGGTTGCAGCTCACAAATGGGCATGTTTTAGATGTGCCAAAGTGTACACACAAGAAGACTCAGGAT